GGGGTGAGCATCAATCATTTATGAATACTAAAGTTAAAATTGTTCATAAATTATCGCAATGAATGGAAAAGAATTAGTAAGTTAAGTAGGTAATAAACCTTATTCAGAAATTCTCTTTTATGTACTGTTTAATAAACGAGCAGGAGTGTTTTATTAGGTTTAAAGTCACGAGCGCGCAGCGCAAGTGGCTTTAGACCTAATAAAACACGACCTGCGAGTTTATTAAACGGCTTCAAACACGACTACAAATTCAATAGATATACTGCCTTATTAGTATTCTTTATATAAAGAATTACTAATGAGGACACGACTCACGAGCGCGCAGCGCAAGTGGCTTTAGACCTAATAAAACACGACCTGCGAGTTTATTAAACGGCTTCAAACACGACTACAAAATCCAATAGATACTGCCTTATTAGTATTCTTTATATAAAAAGTACTAATGAGGACACGACTACAATAGATACTGCCTGTTTTATCAGGTTTAAAGCCACTGCACGTGACATATTATGGTTGACATGATTTGCCAATAAGCTTATGAATTATTAATGAGTGTTTGAAGTACTATTTAAAACACTCGCAGTCCATACTTTATCAGATATGAGACTCGTCTGTCGCCCCGTGTTTATATCTGACAGTGTTTTAAACAGTACTTCAAACACCAATTAATAATTCATAAGCTTATTGGCAAATCATGTCAACCATAATATGGCAGTGGCTTTAAACCTGATAAAACACTCTTAATTAGTATTCTTTATATAAAAAATACTAATAAGGCAGTGGGGTCCATACTACGTTCTTGGACTTCAAAAAAGCATTCGACCTTGTCGACCATAGAATTCTATTAATAAAATTAGCGGAAATGAATGTATCGAAGGCCTTCTGGGGCCGGTTGTATAAAACTCTTAATCACTTTTTTAATCACTATTTTGTAGTTAAATAGTGATTAACTCTCAAATACGCGCTTCTTATTGGATGACGTTTGCACTTAATTATAGTTAACTTTAATCACTTTTTTATACAACCGGCCCCTGGTCATGGGTGAAGTGTTTCCTTACAGAGCGGACTCAACATGTGAATTTACATGGTGTTATATCTTCATGCGCCCCCTGTCCAGCTGGAGTCCCGCAAGGCTCCGTTATTTCTCCAACACTGTTCAATATTCATATCAATGATTTGGAAAACACGTTAACAAACAACCTTACAAACACGCACAAGTATGCAGACGACTGCACTCTTGATGAGGTCGTTGCAAACGGAGCCCTTTCAAATATGCAGGAATCGACTAATCAAGTGATGAATTGGGCCAATGATAATAAAATGATGGTGAACCCCAAAAAAACTAAGGACATGTGGATCAGTTTTTCCCAATCCTCTTCTGAACCCCCACCTATACAAACGGATGGAATTGAAATAGAAAGAGTAAACTCCTTCAAACTTCTCGGTGTATGGGTGCAAAATGACTTAAAGTGGAATACCCATGTTTGTAAAATAACAAAAAGAGCAAATAAGCTATTATTCCTTCTCAGAGAGTGCAGGAAATCCTTCCTACCACCCGAGATTGGTTTATTAACATATACGTCGAAGATCCGGCCAATACTTGAATACGCCTCTCCAGTTTGGGGCGGAATCCCTAAATATCTTGAAGCAGAAATTGAACGTGTTCAACAAAGAAGCTTGAGAATCCTAGGACTTGAGAAAGATACCCTCCCTACACTAAAAGAAAGAAGGGACAAGGCAACATGCAACGAGCTGAAAAGTATCGTGGAAGTCCCAAAAAACCCATGTAATCGTTTCCTATCTGGTAATAAGAATCACACTTACGAACTGAGAAGGACCAGAGACAGCACTCCAAGACAGCTCTCAAAAACACACAGGCATAGTACGTCTTTTATCCCAAGGGCGTGTAGATTAACCAACTCATGAAATTAGATAATTGTACATATGTATATAAAAACTTCTTAAACTTTCTAATTTTTACATTCTCATAGGTTATACATGTATTTTAGTATATATTTTTAACTTGTAAATCCATTGTATTTCTATATGCCAAAGATGGATATTTAACAATAAAATTTGAAAAATTTGAAAATAAAATCTATTGTAGCCGTGTCCTCATTAGTATTCTCTATATAAAGAATACTAAGACAGTATATCTATTGAATTTGTAGTCGTGTTTGAAGCCGTTTAGTCAACTCGCAGGTCGTGTTTTATTAGGTCTAAAGCGACTCGTGCTGCGCGCTCGTGTTTTAAACCTAATAAAACACTCCTGCTCGTTTATTAAACAGTACACAAAAGAATATGAATTTGGTAGTCATTTATGATTACGGAAAATTCGGTAATAAAAACATCCAAACATCACCTCTTTAGAGTCTGTGATCTCATAATACTGATATCCATTGTCTAGTACCAGGCTCCCAGGTCGCGCTGTTAATCTCGATTTAAAATTCAGCTCACATTTGTGAAGAGGAACACCGCTGACCTGAAAGTTATACGAACTGCAGTGTGCATCACTTAGACACGCTGAAACACAGTCTTGCAACGAGTGGACGTCTCGCGTGGAAATGACGTAATTCTTTAAGCGGACATTGTTACGTACAGCTTTAAAGTATCCTTCACTCTGACACTCTCCGCGGAATATTGTATCCCCAAGTTGACCAAGTAGTCCCACTATGATCCAGGATGTCCACAAACGCATCTTAATGTCCATGATTGTCCCCATATCTGAAGTAACAACAAGATGCATACCTAAAGTTAGTTTAGTTTAGGTTTCCTCCTGTAGTAACACTGGATCAATGAGAGATGACCCTTACTGTTTATATCTGATAGAACTTTTCAATATAAATAAAGTTAGTTTAATTTAAGTTTCCTCCTGTAGTAACACTGCATCAATAAGAAATTATCCTTTCTGGATCTCTAGGAAGAACAGTTTAGAACTGATAGAGTTACCCAATATAAATAAAGCTAGTTTAGTTTAGGTTTCCTCCTGTAGTAACACCGGATCAATAAGAGATGACTCTTACTGGATCTCTAGGAAGAACAGTTTAGAACTGATAGAGCTATCTAGTATAAATAAAATTAGTTAAGTTTAGGTTTCCTCTTGTGGTAACACTGGATCAATAAGAGATGACCCTTACTGGACCTCTAGGAAGGTCAGTTTAAAACTGATAGAGTTACCCAATATAAATAAAGCTAGTTTAGTTTATCTCAATATATACTTACATTATTTGCTTGACGTTGAAACTGTCCCACGAAGCCTTGTGTGATTGTTTGAAACGTCCTGGAAACCTTTATGGAAGATAAAGGAAGAGAGATGTGCTAATTGTTACCCACAACACGAAACTTTATAAATTTGATGCTCAGAAAATAAGGAAAAGTAAAATAAACTTACCTTTGTCGTCGTTTTAAAGTTATATTAATAAAATTCACGTCGACAAAAATCGGATTACTCGTTTAAAAATTAATGTCGCAAAATATATGTCCCAAGAGTGAATTGAAATATTTTGAATAACCGAAACAAAATAATTAAAACCTTCCTAATATTTTGCCCGCGAAATGTTGCTTAATTAAAGTGCGTTGTTGGTGGGAAATTAGTACTTATATCGAGATAAGATTCCAAAGTCGTAATTTGAAATGTACACTTCGTTTGAGATATCATTGTATGACGGTAAATGACAAAATATTCTTTGGATTCTGACACTTTAATTTCATTTGCAGCAAAGCAGCTGTCCAAAATAGATTAAATTTACACAGTTTTGTTTCATTGGCGTAAACAAAGTGATATAAATGCTGAGAAGGGGGATTAAATAAAAACGTTTTTAAGTAAATTGTGCAGTGAAAAAAAATAATTATGCATTTCTGCCCTTTTTCGAAGTAAATTTACAGGCGTCGGGTGATTTAACGGGGCGAAAGTTATGAGTTTCAATTAGTTGTAATTTTAGCGAGGCCGATATCTTTTTCAGGACGCAATTAACGAGTGATGATGATATTCTTTTCATGCATATTCTACAGTTTCCTGTTAATACTTATATTGAAGTGTTATTTGCTTTAAAATAAGACTTCCCGGGGTGAATGTGGATGAAAATAGCAAAGACAAATTAAAAGAAATATTGTATGAGACTAACGAACTAGAGAGTTGGGAGGACGAGCCTGCACTTCGCAGGCTCTATCAAGAACGGTTACAATTTACCACAAAGTACATTTCACGGGCCATCATTTCATAGATCTGACACGCGATATGTTGTGTGGCTTTATGGGCAGAATTTCTATCAGTATCAAAAAGTGACTTCCTATAGAGTAAGAGATGATCCTCAATGGACCTCTAATGAGAACAGTTTAGAACTGATAGAGCTATCCAGTATAAATAAAGTTAGTTTAGTTTAGGTTTCCTCCTGTAGTATCATTGGATCAATAAGAGATGACTCTTACTGGGCCTCTAGGAAAAACAGTTTAAAACTGATAGAGTTATCCAAAAGTTAGTTTAGTTCAAGTTCAATGTACAGGTACTTTAAGAAAAGTAACAGAATAATTTGCCGCAAAGCGCGTATACATGTAAATCTTCAAAGAAACTTAATTAATTGCCTCTTTAAGCGAAACGTTTTAATTTCAAATTTGAAAATGATACGAATGAAAATTGACAGCCAGCTCTCTTGGTCAGTATTATGACTACATATTTATGTGTCTACATATTTATGTATGCACTGCACGATGTTATTTTTATGCCCTGTTCTACTTAGCCCTTAGGAATAGTAGCGAGTTTTTATGTAATTTAAATTCGAGAAATATTTTTATGTTGACATAACAACATTTTATATTTATATTTAAAAATATATTCAATAAAAGCCACACCAAAAATGATTTGCTCGAAATATACTTCTGTTCATATATACAATGAATCTATTGAACTACAGTACACACGTAAAAACACACAAGTTGTAACAAACCTGCAGCAGACTTGTAGCAATGCTGTTCCAACAACTTGTCATCAGGATGTGTTCCCACTACTTGTTCCCAGCTTGTTGACAAGTTGCCAACGGCTAACGAGAAGTTGCTACAAGGTTGTTGAGCTCAACAGACTTGTTACAAGTTGTTACAACAACTTGTTATCGTCCTGCAATTCAACAATTTGTCAACAAGTTGTGAGTGACAACCTTGTAGCAACTTTATAAAATAACAACATTGTTACAACTTGTTGGCAAGCTTGCTACAAGCCTGTTGCGACTTGCGAACACATCTTGTTGACAAATTGTGAAATTTTTACGTGTGCACACTATACTAATAACAAAATTACTTCGTTATGAAATTCTGTTCCTACACGGTTCGTCTTTCTCAGTATGTTATCAACCTATCACACCGAAGTATAGACTTTCTACTCAGGTTGCTTAGCAACCACAACTACACACGTCACATGTTCTGACCTGGCACGTGTTCACTATATACCATCACTCACGATGCTATGCTTTTCTCTCATGCCAGCAAGTTTTGCGACTGAGCGATCTCGAGAATACTAGATTCACCAGGAAGGGACGAGCCTGAAACAAAAAGAAATTAAGCATGACATCTAGAAAGCAGCTTTTGACTTTGGCAAAGCATTCGATCAGTATGCCCAGATATTCATTTAGGTAATACATGCAGTATTTACACAACATACCTTGCATAAAATACTCCTTACATCTTCTGGGTAGATTTGCGTTGGTCATTGCGAGCTAAAATGATAACAGCAAAACAAAATTCAACGTGACGACCGTTGACTTCATAAAAGGACGTTTATTGAGTAGCTTCTCACTCATTGGTGGGCGGATTTCCCAACAGGCTACTGCCCAATTGATAGGGGATCCGAGGTACCTACGATTTAACGTCCTTATCCGAGAAGACGCAAAAGTCTAACCATTTACTGATGTCAATGTAAATGTAGCACTTTTACATTGGTATCGAATAGAACACATTGGTATCGAAGGTACTAGACTTAGTTCTGAAATACCACACACTCGAACAGACTTGACGACGTAGCTCAGTTGGCAGAGCATTGGACTAGTATCCCAAAGGTCGCGGGTTCCATTCCCATCGTGGTCAGGCTAACTTTTCAGCCTGCCCGGTGTGGATATACACTCAGAGTAACATCCTTTATATTCACCTGAGTACATAACATCAAAACACAACAAAAATATCATTATTTTAAGACCTTGAGTAGAGGAGGTCCGCCCAAGGATTGGACCCGGATCTCCCAGCTTGAAAGTCTCTCATGTCTGATCACGGAGCACAGCTACGGTGGAAGGGTCAGTTAGGGGGATAATCCCAACCCACCAAGACCTTGAGTAGAGGAGGTCCGCCCAAGGATTGGACCCGGATCTCCCAGCTTGAAAGTCTCTCATGTCTGATCACGGAGCACAGCTACGGTGGAAGGGTCAGTTAGGGGGATAATCCCAACCCACCCTGGAAGGGTCAGTTAGGGGATAATCCCAACCCACCCTGGAAGGGTCAGTTAGGGGGATAATCCCAACCCACCGTGGAAGGGTCAGTTAGGGGGATAGTCTCAACCCACCCTGGAAGGGTCAGTTAGGGGATAGTCTCAACCCACCCTGGAAGGGTCAGTTAGGGGATAATCCCAACCCACCCTGGAAGGGTCAGTTAGGGGGATAGTCCCAACTCACCCTGGAAGGGTCAGTTAGGGGGATAGTTTCAACCCACCCTGGAAGGGTCAGTTAGGGGGATAGTCCCAACCCACCCTGGGAAGGGTCAGTTAGGGGAAACGTCAAGCATACAATTTTACAATGGTGTGAAAATGCACTTACCTTAAAACAACTTTGTGAAAAGAAATTTCTCAGATCTTCTCCCTGGATTTGTTCCAAGAATCTTCTGAGAGGTACAAGATGACTAAATGGACCAGTCCTGATAGAAACGAAATAAAGAATAAGTTCTTTGTATGGCGATAAAACATAATAGTTTTGTTTGTGGAAACACCACGTAAATAAATGCAGAAATAAAGAATGTAAAATACCAGTGGTTTCAAAATAAGCCGTTTTACTGTATGTAAACGTTGTTGTTATAGGCATTAATAAGAACATAAATTTAACAGTGTTTTAGACATTTAAAATGATTTTTTTTTGTGTCTCAAGAATAAATGCTGGAAAATGCATCTCGTATAGCTCTAGAAGTTCAAAATTTTCTGGAAGCATGCCGTCACAGGCCCGTTAGATCCTCCGAGTTTCGAAGTTCGGCCTTCGGTTGCAACTCCTACACTTCCCATCGCAACGTCTACTATGAAATGTTTTGAAACCACTAAATACATCGATCAGTTTTATTCTCGACTGCTTGTTCGTTGAATAAGAACGAAGTTCAATAGGATCCTTACCATTTTGTTAGAAAATCTTCAACAATATGATGCATACGGTCAGGTTTAGGAAGTGAATAATCCCTCTCTAAGACTGCAGGAAAAATAAAGAAAAAACATTAAAATAACACATTACTAATTTATTGTGAAATTCACGAATAATAGATCTTACCCATTATTGTCTTTTACCCAATGGCCTCGTTTTCATGTCAAATACTTACTTATGTTTTGTGCTTAGTAGTGTTGAAAATTACTTTGTTATTGAGCCTAAGAACAGCAAGAAACAAATTCGCCCAGGGCAGATAAACATGGGAATATAATCTTTATCTGCCCCTGACATGCTAAAATAAGTTAACATGGAAACGAGGCCATTGCGTAAAAAAGAATAATCGGTAAGGTGTATTAATGAGCTTTGCACCAAATCACATTTCAAGGAATGAATTGTGTTCAAGTCAAGACGGCCACTATGTTGTGAGCATTACTATAATCATAAATTATTGAGTGGTTACCTTTGACAGGCTGTCGGTAGAAATACAAGACCGGGTGGAGAAAATTCGAAATATGTGCTCGTGATGGATCTAATGTTGCGCGGTCTTCATGAAATGTGTCGCGACCTGCCCCAGAGAAAGTTTTGCCGTATTCCATGTTTACCACAATCGTCGGTCCGCTTGGCAAGCCCGAATAACCTGGAAATTAAACTATGTTAATAAATAATTACCTCATTTACGTACTTGTGTAACTAACAAAGTAACAAACTAACTAACCAACTAACCAACTAACCAACTAACCAAGTAACCAACTAACTAACTTACTAATTAATTAACTAATTAACTAATTAATTAATTAAGTACTAAACACACTAACACACTAAATACTACTGCAATCAGTGATGATGTTCCTTACTTTCTAACTGGTCAAGTAACTTGGAAGGAAATTCTTCAATATATATCGCTTGTCCATCGTTCACTAAAATCGACCAAACACTATTTAGACGTTGGATAATCACAGAGAAAAAGTGCAGAAAAACAAAGTACACAGTCCAATATTAGCTAACAGTGTCAGTTTTTCTTACCATAAACAACTATATCAACCAAGATACTAAACATTTGATAAATACCCTAGAAACGAAAATGTTTTCTTTGTAAACAAGAACAATTGTAACTAGATATGTCAGGTTCCGATACTTTTTCCACATCTGGACAAGTGTTATGTAATGTTTATATAAGTGTGTCTGAATGAATTTTTCTGAAGGGTAACCCCAAAGTCGTTTCTGAGGGGTTAAGCCTGTCGGCATCTTTTGATCTCTGCGATTTGAAGGGGATTTTGTGTCGGCACTTTGATCTTTTTTTCTTAGGGGTTAAAATTTACTGACCGCTCCCGGGGGGGGGGGGGGGATATTAAATAGAATGGCCCAACATACCGATGCTTCGTTTACTCTCTTTGTGATATAATTCAAGATCTGATTTTGTGGAATCACGTGGTGTTTCCATTTAATTCCATGATTTTTCCATTCCAGAACGCGATGAAGCGATCGTGCTATGTAGAACGACACAAAACACACGAGAACGTTTACTTTGAGAGTTTCGGAGTTTGTTGAAATCTTACTAATGTAAAATCGAGGCGAAAGTTGAACTTCGCAATAGCAATGCATGCTATGTTACGTTGCCTGCAGGGTGCGATAATTAAAATTTTCTGGTTGGGCAAAAATTGCCGCGTAATTGCGCTGCTGTTAACTTAAGTGAAGTGACTTCAACGTATTTCTTGTTTCCTGAGCAGCAAGGTGGAACTAATGTCTTTGACACAAAAGGAAATGCTACAATACGGTTGGAGTGGAAAACGGTCTTATATTGCGTACCTAACTGGTATTGAAAAAAACGAAGTGCATACGGGCAGTAATACGCCAGTATGTCTGGTCGCTATATTGACGTTATATACAATTTCCTGTTGTTTTCGAGAATTCTGTAGTACCAAGCGTCACAGAAATCACGGAATCCCGCAAACCAGTAATATATCAACATTGGGTGGGGTGGGGCAGCGTTTTTGAACTTTGTCTAGTTGTTTTACTTCGACACAAAACAAACACATACAATCATACCTGTGTATCTGTAACCATGGATAAAACCACCGGCAGATTTTTTCCAGTCCAGAGAATGTGCTGTTGCTCCAGCTACAACGAAAATGTTACAACATGAGCTGCCAGTTTAACTTTAACTTTAAAAACTCATTTGCAACTCACCAAACCACAGTCTTGGCACATTGTGACTTTGAAAATCTGGCGTGATTAGCGGATATTTACTCCTCTTTCCCGGGCATTTCTCGGGCATGACCGTCCCGTTGAATATCGAGAAATCAAACTGAAATACAATTAACAGTCTTGTGAATAACCTAGACTACTATCAGTTCTCAATTGCTTTTCCTAAAGATTCAGTAAGAGCCATCTGGACCTCTAGGACTAGGAAGAACAGTTTAGAGCTGATAGAGTTATTCGGTATAAATAAAGTTAGTTTAGTTTAGGTTTCCTCATGCAGTAATAATAATAATAATACGAATTATTTATATAGCGCCAATTCCCTAAAGTCCATTAGCGCTTTACAAGATATGTAACCGAACTAAGAGGAGATCTTACAAAATAACTAATTAAAAACTATGCTAAAAAGATGTGTCTTAAGAAGTTTCTTAAAAATTTCAATATTATGACAGTTCCGTATTCTGTCTGGTAATGCATTCCACAATGTTGGAGCTGAAACAGAAAACGCTCTAAAACCATATGTACGTAGATTAAAATTAGTTGTATCAACAAGGTTCTTTGAGGATGATCTTAACGTTCTTTTTGGTTCATATGGTTTAACTAATTCTTTTAAATACAAGTGGTGCCATGTCATGCAAACACTTGAAAGTTAAGAGAATAATTTTAAAATTGATTCGTTGTTCCACAGTAACACTGGATCAATAAGAGATGATCCTTACTGGACCTCTATATATAGGGAGAACAGTTTAGAACTGATAGAGCTATCCAGTAGAAATAAAGTTAGTTTAGTTTAGTTTAGTTTAGGTTTCCTCCTGGAGAATAATTTTAAAATTGATTCGTTGTTCCAGTAGTAACACTGGATCAATAAGAGATGATCCTTACTGGACCTCTAGGAGAACAGTTTAGAACTGATAGAGCTATCCAGTAGAAATAAAGTTAGTTTAGTTTAGGTTTCCTCCTGTAGTAACACTGGATCAATAAGAGAATGATCCTTACTGGACCTCTAGGAAGAACAGTTTAGAACTGATCGAGATATCCAGCATAAATACAGTTAGTTTAGTTTAGGTTAAGAGACCTCTTACTGGTATCCAGTATTACTACAGGAAGAACCGAAGCACCCAAAGAAAACCGGCAGGAACACTTGTCCTTTACCTTAAAACCAAGACATCTTAGAATTTTATCATAAGGATCTCGTAAAGAATAGTTGTCAGCTAAAAACAAATAAGAATATTCATGACAAGGGACCGGTATTTCGGTATTTTCATTTCACAGTTACACTGCTCATCACTAATTATCGTATTTGAAATGGGAAAATTCTAATCATAAAGCAGAAATATTTCACACAAAAAATAAACTGTTAACTTACGAGCAACGCCAGTCTTATTCAAAATCCTTCCTTCTGAATCATAAAAATCCACGTACAGTTTTCCTTCGTGTTTGACGATACTGACTTGTGAAAATGCCTTTTCTGCATGGAGAATGATAATAAAATCAATGTTGTAGGTGCTGCCGTTATGATGTAAAAAGGTTGAATATAATTTCTTTTTGCAATACCTAAGAATCCGTCTTGAGATTTCAGCTGATAATTGTCCAATATACGGTTATTGACAGCCCTGAGAAAAATATATATAAAATTCATAAACTACGAAACTACGAAGATGTAACAGTCGTTGGCATTTGACAATCAGCTATCAATGAAGTATATGAAGAAATAATCAAATTTCAGCTGGTTCAAATTTTGATCAACTCTCATGTAACTTTTGTTCTCGTTTGATCGGGGCACGAGAGTTGAGAAAACTCGCATGCAAACTCTCGCTTCTCAACTCTCATTTGACAATCAGCTATCAATGAAGTATATGAAGAAATAATCAAATTTCAGCTGGTTCAATTTTTGATCAACTCTCATGTAACTTTTGTTCTCGTTTGATCGGGGCACGAGAGTTGAGAAAACTCGCATGCAAACTCTCGCTTCTCAACTCTCATCAACTCTCATGCAACTCTTGCATTTCTACACCATAATGACATTCGTCCTACCTTACATCCCCAACATAGTGAGTTGACCACGCTAGACGTACTCTTGATCTTATAGAAAATGAGATCGAGTGTAAGATTTATAGAAATTATATTCTTCTAATTTTGTTCAACTAAATTGCTCAGCTCACCTTCCCATAACGTGAACAAGATTTGTCGACTCCATAATATTATCAGCAGTTTCAAATGCTGCATTTCCTATCAACCAAAGACACATTGTTAGTATTGTCCAGTAAAGTAGAATTGTCCAGTAAAGGCGATTCCTAATTAATCTAGTTTGAATGAGAAAGAAACTAAAGAGTACTTGGAGAAAACCAGTGGTGTTTGGTGAGTCAAACTGGAAGCACTCTTCTCGCATCAAACAGATCCAACTGAGTGCAAATGATAATGAGATAACTGTATTTTACAGGAATTGAAGCCCAGTCATTAGAGATGAAAGACACATGTCTCAACCACATCACAGCTGTTGTAAACAAGATAAAAACCCACCTCCTCCTAATATCAAGACTGTTTGGCCTTCATAGTCATCTCTGTTCAACGACATTGTCCCGTAGCTCTAGTGAGAGTAAACGAAAATGAGAAATGGAAAAATAAAGAAATTAAGGAATGAAGAAAGAAAGAGAGCAAACGAAAGAAGGAAATGGTGGAAGGAAGAAAAAGAAACATAGAAACGAAGGAAGGAAATGGTGGAAGGGGAAAAGAATATCGAAAGAAAAGACAAAATGAAGAATAGCAGAATCTTAAACACAAATTTAAAAAATAACTGCACACCTCAGTATGTTCGATGCCTTTAATATCAGGAACATTTTCAATTGGAATTCCAGTACTAGAAAATTAACAAAAGAATCAGAGACTGAAAAGCGAATGGTTTTCATCTATTAATCTTACATATTAATAATTTGATTCAAGATATAAATACATACATACAAAAACAATCTGGAAGAGGGAATCTATTACTCATCCGTGGATAAGGCACAATGCCATTGAAAATTGGTGACGTTATTGATAAAAACGCAACTATTCAATGGGTGATTCCAGCTATAACCTAAATTTTGATGAAGGCAAGAAGAACGAAATCCAACCCCACAGCTAGAAAAAGCGTCTTCGAATGAGTAAAACTGCAAAGATTGGTTGCTAAATGTTGTAAAATGAAGAAAATATAGCCCTGTGAAGTTCGCAAATTTTGTATATATTTGTATTACGAGCGGTAAAATAACCACTTTCGGCTCAAAAATGGTTATTTTTCCCACAAATATATACAAAATTTGCGAACTTCACAGGGCTATATTTTCCTCATTTTACAACCAAACGTTGCAATGTTACTCATTTTAAGATTCTCTTTCCAGCTATGGTAATGGATTTCGTTCTTCTTGCCTAGATCAAATTGGAATCATCAATTCATCCACCCTCACCTGACAATCAGATCGTTACATGTATACCAATTGCCATGCTGATCTTCAAGTAGAAATGAATTATTCACCAACTGCTTGGAGATACTTTTAATTTCAGTATTGTACGATATTTTGAGCTTCAACTTGTTTGCAAAATCATTGAGGTATTTGACCTGTGGAGAGAGATAAGTATATTTCCATTGATTAGACGTACTATACTTCCTTTTTATTAATGAGGTCCATATCATTGTTTTGTCATTCTGATAACTGCAGGTTGACCAAGGGACGTAGCGGGGCATCTGAAGTTGGGGAGGTCGGAGGATTTTACCTGAAATTTGAACTTCAATGTTAAACATTTACCTGAAGTGCAATAATTATAATAGAGCTTTTTCTGATTGATTTCCACTGTCATACTAAGTTTCCGAAGAAAGGGGAGTCTGGGGGTCATCCTGTGATCCCATGTGACCCTGCAATTCCGGTGCAGCGCTCTAACCAACTGAGTGTTAATTGGCGCATGTTGAATGGTTACATGGTAAAGTTTGTTGTTTGTACTTACCAGAATACCAGCCTTAGGGTAGAGTCTGTTACTGTATCTTGTCATACGAAGTGTTTCGTCATCACTCAACAGAGAGTTCCAGTCATGTCTTAAATTGAATTCTTTATTTGTTTTACCTAAATAAACAGCAACACGTTACAAACAGCAGCAACAACAGCAAAGACAACGACAACATTATCAACAACAATAACGTCATCAACGAAGAGAGTTCCAGTCATGTCTTAAATTGAATTCTTTATTTGTTTTACCTAAATAAACAGCAACACGTTACAAACAGCAGCAACAACAGCAAAGACAACGACAACATTATCAACAACAATAACGTCATCAACGACAACAGCAACGACGACAACAACAGCAACAACGACAGCAACAGCAACAACAACAACAACAACAATAGCAGCAACAATAGCAACAACAACAACAACAACAACAACGACGACGACGGCAACAACGACAGCAACGACAACAACAACAACAACAGCAACAATAACAACAACAACGACGACAACGCAACAACGACAGCAACGACAGCAACAACAGCAACAACAACAACAGCAACAATAACAACAACAACGACGACGACGGCAACAACGACAGCAACGACAGCAACAACAACAGACAACAACAACAGCAACAAAACAACAACAACAGCAACAGCAGCAACAACAACAAAAAACGACAACAACAACATTCTAACCTGTATGTCTTTTATTTATGGAAATCAAGCCTCGATGACGAGGATAAAACTTGTAAAAGGACAGCAACAATAACAACAACAACGACGACGACACAACAACATTCTAACCTGTATGTCTTTTATTTATGGAAATCAAGCCTCGATGACGAGGATAAAACTTGTAAAAGGAACCTAAAGAAAAAACAGAATTTTCAAACAACTGAAATTTATTTTTACTTATTTATTTATTTACGAGCTTTGTCATACATCATAAGTCCCTACAGGGCTTATTGCCTCATTCACAGGGTCCCTTAAGGAATTCACAGGGTCCCTTAATGAGGAATGTATGGTTAGAAACAAATACCCTTGTTGTACTTGGATAGATTTAGTGGGATAACAATGCATCATATAGTTATATACTGTTTTGTCGTTCATATTCATTATCTACTTATGGACTTAGTGATGCAATCGCAAATTTCATAGTGTGAACTGCACTATTGTATTCCAGTGAACCCTTGTGTTACCGGCAACAAAAATTTCTTACGTAACTCAAAAGACAGTGTATCTCTGTATGGTCATATCTAACATTTCAACGTGGGAGTCTATTACACATATAAGTCTATTTACGAGCAAAATCCCTAACGCGTCACTGCACCCCCCGTGCTGGAAATTACATGCATTGATGATTTCTTTCAAGCAACAACTGTGTTGCATTGTGTAATGTTTTGCTTCAAGCAGAGACAAGTCTTTTTATATCATTCAAGTTGTTTTTGGCAATGTTCCCTTTCATGGCTATAAATATAACGGGGCCTAAATTTAGGCAATGTTTGCCAGAGATTGAATTTTCTGGTTCATGAGAAAACCTATATATAAATTTCATGCCAATTGAAGAAGAGAATCTTTCGTATGTTCTATAACACGCTCTCAAAATTAATGAATATACTTTTAACTACTTTCAATGTAGATTAATACAACTTCATTGTCTAAATGTAATCTAGAAACTTTTTAATCCATTAAACATTAATTATTGAACTTGATTGATTTATACTGGATAGCTCTATTAGTTCTAAACTGTTCTTCCTAAAGGTCCGGTAAAGATCATCTGTAATTGATCCAGTGTTACTACAGGAGGAAACCTAAACTAAACTAACTTTCCATTAAACATTAATTATTGAACTTGATTCCATTTATACTGGATAGCTCTATTAGTTCTAAACTGTTCTTCCTAAAGGTCCGGTAAAGATCATCTGTAATTGATCCAGTGTTACTACAGGAGGAAACCTAAACTAAACTAACTTTATTTATACTGGATAGCTCTATCAGTTCTAAACTGTTCTCCCTATAGAGGTCCAGTGAGGATCATCTGTAATTGATCCAGTGTTACTTCAGAAGGAAATCTAAACTAAACTAACTTTATTTATACTGGACAGCTCTATCAGTTCTAAACTGTTCTCCCTAGAGGTCCAGTAAGGATAATCTCTTATTGATCCAGTGTTACTACAGGAGGAAACCTAAACTAAACTAACTTTATTTATACTGGATAGCTCTATCAGTTCTAAACTGTTCTTCCTAGAGGTCCAGTAAGGATCATCTCTTATTGATCCAGTGTTACTACAGGAGGAAACCTAAACTAAACTAACTTTATTTATACTGGATAGCTCTATCAGTTCTAAACTGTTCTTCCTAGAGGTCCAGTAAGGATAATCTCTTATTGATCCAGTGTTACTACAGGAGGAAACCTAAACTAAACAAACTTTATTTTTACTGGATATATCTATCAGTTCTAAACTGTTCTTCCTAGAGGTCCAGTAAGAATCATCTCTTATTGATCCAGTGTTACTACAGGAGGAAACCTAAACTAAACGAACTTTATTTATACTGGATATATCTATCAGTTCTAAACTGTTCTTCCTAGAGGTCCAGTAAGGATCATCTCTTATTGATCCAGTGTTACTGCAGGAGGAAACCTAAACTAAATTAACTTTATTTATACTGGATAGCTGATATATTGTTCTCTTTATTGATCCAGTAGTAACAGAAGGAAACCTAAGTTAAACTGTTCCCCTAGAGTCCAGTATTGAAATTATATAATCTACAGACAACAGCATAACCCCAGGAATCGACGGTTGAGGGGACTAGCTACAGGCTATATACTGTGACATCACCTTGGCCTTGCTATACGTATTTCTAAAGAATGACAGTTTTTGTCTGCGGTTACAACACAATTCCTTATATGTTGAAAGAATTTCGATTCGGATTGAAATGTTTTCGCTTGAACGGATTTTTCATTCTTGTTGTTCAAAAAGGTTAGAGTAACGGATATAGAGATTGTTACAAAATATAAACAAGGCTGTATAGTTTAGCAGTTATTTTTAACCAAGCTTTTTAGAGAACGCCACTGTTGCTACAACACGCTGACACAGTGGTGTACGTGTATGTTAGTAGCCTACAATGAAAACATTTCAATCCATAAACGTGCGACAAAATGACAATTAAAGAAGCTCCTTCACATTACCCTCAAATCTCAATACATGACGTTTGTTTTTCTTTTTATCTCACGTTTGCATTTCATGTTTGAACTGCCAGAAATGCATCCTTCACTTAAAACACGTCCTGCATGTACGTCAGGATGAAAAACACATTTTCCTTCGCTATTAAAAATGCCTTTAAAACGTCAGTATATAGTCTATAGACCATGGATAATTTGTCTTGATAGACCATGTCTAATTATTCCCTGTCTAAACGCCAAGATCTAAGAACTTAGTTTAGTTAGTTAGGTTTCCCCCTGTAATAACACTCATGGGTCAATAAGAGATGATCCTTACTAGACCTCTAGGAAGAACAGTTTAGAACTGATAGAGCTGTCCAGTATAAATAAAGTTAGTTTAGTTCAGGTTCCTGTCTAAACGCCAAGATCTAAGAACTTAGTTTAGTTAGTTAGGTTTCCCCCTGTAATAACACTCATGGGTCAATAAGAGATGATCCTTACTAGCCCCTCTAGGAAGAACAGTTTAGAACTGATAGAGCTGTCCAGTATAAATAAAGTTAGTTTAGTTCAGGTTTCCTCCAGGGATGTAATAACACTCGGGTCAATAAGAGATGATCCTTACTAGACCTCCAGGGAGAACAGTTTAGAACTGATAGAGCTATCCAGTATAAATAAAGTTAGTTTAGTTTAGGTTTCCTCCTGTAGTAACACTGGATCAATAAGAGATGATCCTTATAGACTTCCAGGGAGAACAGGAGCAGTTCAGCAGTGTCACAGTGCATGACAGGCTATTTACTTTGAAATGAACTGAAGAACTTATTTTGGCAAAACACTTACCAGCTTCGGAATTACGCTCAAAAACAATATAGTGTCGACTTGATCTTTCCAAAAAGTAAGCGACTTGTAGCCCTGAAAAGATGTGACATGAATTAGAAATTAAAAACTATTTTACAATTAACTGCAACGGTGTGTTCCAGCGTAGCCGTAGGTTGTGACAATAACACCAGAAAACATTGGGCTAGTATTCCAAAGGTCGTAGGTTCGATTCCCACCGTGGCCAGGCATATTTTTCAAGCTTGTCCGGTGTGGATATACACTCAGAGTAACATCACAAGCATCATAACACCAGAAAGATTCACGTTTACGGAACCGCTCATTGTAAACGGGAAAGTCGATTTTGAGCATATTAAGTTCCACACGATTTTTACGGCTAAGTTACTTATGTATGTTTCAATTTAATATACAAATTGTTCGAACTGCTAACGGCTTGGCATTGACCTTAAAGTGCGATTCAACTTTGCTGCTAGCCGCAAACGCGAGAATGTTAAGGTCTCGAATCATGCTCGCAATAATTTTCAAGCTTTTCTGTGTTGTGTAATATGTTTCATTCGGCATGGAAACTCTCTTACAAGAAACGTGTTGCTAATTGATACATGAACGCCTGGTTTAAATGTTTCAATTTTTCGTCAACAAATTATCATAAGACCAGATTGAATAATTTGACAAACCTCCAGGTCCAGCTCCGACTACGCAATATTCATGATGATTTTCAAACTTTTCAGAAAAACTTGTGAACGGACGGATGAAAAACAATAAAACGCCAAAAAGCCAGCATTTTGAAGCCATGTTTTTCACTGACAGCTCTGCTTAGCACTGACGCGTTTGTAAAGCACTCTGCATTAATAGTCGACGCACAATGAAGAACTTGGCCAGGGAAATAATTCCGGCTTCATTTCCATAACAATTACAACTATAAAAAGACAAAAAACAGCGAACAGAAAAACAAACAAAAAATTAACATGACCTTTTCTTGGCAAAAATATTTTTCGAAACGGTTAGGGACAAAACGTTTAACATTCAGGATTTCAGATAGATTTTGTAACAAAATTTGGAGGGATTTTTGGGGGTTCTTGACAGCAGCTGTGGAAGAACTCTACAATACCTCGGCATGTGTTCCGCCAACGCCATTTATCAGGATTCCCTATTTTGACAGTTTGCTGCGAAGCTGTGAACTGCAATCACTACAAGTAAATTTAATTTGTATAATCAAACAATAATGGACCATAATCGTATTTATATCTTACGCATTTTTTTATAAATTTGTACATTTTTTCTGGCATATTTTTAAAGGCCAGGATCGACTCTCCAAGAGATTGTAAATTTTTACCCTTCAAGTGTGAGATGTTCTTTCAATATTCAAGGTTTCATTGTTTCGTTGTGGATGGAAATTGTGAGTGTGGATTTTTTATACACTTAGCAGACCTTACTAGGAGTAGTAGCGAAAACTACATTGGCCTTCTGCAGGCAGGAATCGAACTGAGGGCATGCGATATTAAATTCAAACTTTAAACGAGATATTTGCTGTGTTGGTGTAATGTACTCAGGTGAATAAGATGCTTGTGACGTTACTCTGAGTGTATATCCACACCGGGCAGGCTTGAAAAATATGCCTGGCCACGGTGGGAATCGAACTTACGATCTTTGGAATACTAGCCCAATGCTCTGCCAACTGAGCTACGCGGTCAGGTCGGTTCGAGTATGTGATATTTCGGAACTGAGTCTATATAGCTCCTTCGATATCAGTGTAATCTAATAATCATGATATTTGCTGTGTTGGTGTTCGATTCTCACCGTGGCCAGGCATATTTTTCAAGCCTGCCCGGTGTGTTTATACACTCAGGGTAACATCACAAGCATTTTAAAACGAGAGTTTACATCATCAGACGTCAATGTGTTCTAGGACACAACGTAACGTGAAACGTCGTTTGATAAAAATGACGTCAATACGGCTAACGGAAGTTCGTTTTCCAGCAAGCGGACGTCACTACAGTGAGTTCTCAAAATTTTCAAGTTCGCAGACATCGTGTTGAAATTTGACTTGATATATTTGTAAGAGTCATCAGAAGCGAGAGCAGTGCATGGGCAATAGTGTATTGTATATGCCTTTTGTTTGCGGGCAGGAAATTCGCAGCTGAGCTGTGATTATCCGTGAGAAACGACCTTGGCTCGGGTTTGTTTCCACATCAATTACCAAGGCACTGTACGTTGATGAAACAAGGTCAATGAGAGCCTTGAGTGCATATATAAACTGTTCAGTTTTGCGGTTTCGCGAAGTCACATGATCAGTTAAAATACCAAGTTTGGAGTTACAAGTTCTATTGCATGCCCTATCACAAGTTTTCCTTATAAGATCTACACACGCAAAAATCTGACATGTTGTAGCAAGTCTGCCAAAAAACCGTCAACAGGTTGAAGTTGTGTTCGCACTGCTTGTCCCAAGTTGTCAACAAGTCATGATATAACAAAAAAATAGGTACGCAATGCGTACATGTGGCTAGCCTGGTAAATTTTAACTCCCCAAACCCTCCTCCAAATCCCGAAAGCCTGCCATGCTGGTTAACTTTAATAGTAATAAGAAGACACACCACGATGGTCAGAATGCGCAAATTTTCTCCCACTTGTGCAGGCTCATTTTGTCAGTGGAGTTTCACGGTACACTTGAAAAATACCGTGTCATATCTCGTCGCTTCGCATGTAAATAGCGAATTCATGAATAACACTTGAATAAACACAAATATGTGAATTTGCACGCTAGGCTTTTGAATATAACGATTGTAAAAAGTTTCCGTGTGATCTATTAGCAATTTAAAAGATACCTAAACTGTAAATCCCATCGGTTAATTTTCGTAATCGATTAATCGTTCTCAACAATCGATTAATATCGATTAATCGTATTGATAATTAATTTAAGTATGAAAAGCCCATGGTGGTTTGACAGGTTTCTAAATTGTAATTAAAGTATTAAAATTAACTAAATTTTGGGGGGTTTCACCAGTCAGTATAAACATTTTAAATCTGGGTTTAAAGTGAACGTTAATCCCAATTGTTGATTGTGCTCTTACACTACACACAAGAGAAATGCATGAAAAGACAGGAATGATATTAAGGATGTTTACTTTAGTTGTTTACCTTTGACACTCCTAAGTAAATTTGCGAGATTCAGACTCTTATGGATAATTGGTTTATGTCCGCACGCTGCAATCAGGCTGCAATGTAGGACGCAAATGGTAATAAATTCTTCTAATAAAAAAACTTGAAAGATATTTTCACAACACTGGTAACCTGATCAGACTATGGTAAACTTTGCACGCTGTGAGTGAAACTGATAGTTGACCCACAATGTTTTGAATCAATTTATGGAGGGGAATTAGGGACAAAATTGTTTCAGAGTCAAAGCATTATTGTGTCATCACGGTCAATTGTATCGTACTGGATAGGCAATGCGCTGTGAGTGAAACTGATAGTTGACCCACAATGTTTTGAATCAATTTATGGAGGGGAATTAGGGACAAAATTGTTTCAGAGTCAAAGCATTATTGTGTCATCACGGTCAATTGCATCGTACTGGATAGGCAATGGATCGTACTGGATAGGCAATGGATCGTACTGGATAGGCAATGGGTCCATAAGGTTTCAATTTATGGAGGGGAATTAGGGACAAAATTGTTTCAGAGTCAAAGCATTATTGTGTCATCACGGTCAATTGTATCCGTACTGGATAGGCAATGGATCGTACTGGATAGGCAATGGATCGTACTGGATAGGCAATGGGTCGTACTGGATAGGCAATGGGTCGTACTGGATAGGCAATGGGTCGTACTGGATAGGCAATGGGTCGTACTGGATAGGCAATGGATCGTACTGGATAGGCAATGGGTCACTCGTACTGGATAGGCAATGGGTCACGTACTGGATAGGCAATGGGTCGTACCTGGATAAATTGTCTCTTTTCCATATGAAAATTTTGAAAAACGGGAAGAAAAGTGGAAAATGAAAATTTTTCGTGTGGTAAGTGGTAACATCAAACTCGTTTATTTCACATTTTGCATTTTCTGATTTTCATAATTTGCGTATATATTTTGTCAAGAAGAATTTCATGCTTTATTTGTTTATTGTCCTTTTTAAATTGTTTAAAAATGTCAAGAGAAGACGACAGGTTACAACGTGCGAAAGATGCGTTAAAGAACGCGTTACAGGAATTGGAATCAGAGCCACAGAGCTCCAGCCCGATAAACAACGCAAGAGCTACAGCTACTCGGTCTCCGAATATCGATGTCGTTGGTCAACAAAGACAAAGTGCAACTGATGATTTTAGGTGAGTCAATGAAAAAGGAACGAAATCCATGAGTGTATTATCTATTTTCGTTAATTAAAGGAATATTAAAGTTTTAAGTAAGTTTAATTGTAATTATATAGACCATAATTTTGGCGCCGCTTTCGCATTCTGATGGATGCAACACGTGTTCATTAGTAAATTTATAATTTTTTTTCAAATACGCGAATACCGGGTGGGTGGGTATGACAAAAAAAGAAACAATGACGATAAATCAGTCAAGATTTTATATACATAATTTCAAATGTCCCGGCCGCCGCTTTCGCATTCTGATGGATGCAACACGTGTTCATTAGTAAATTTATAATTTTTTTTCAAATACGCGAATACCGGGTGGGTGGGTATGACAAAAAAAGAAACAATGTAACGATAAATCAGTCAAGATTTTATACATAATTTCAAATGTCCCGGCCCGATGAATCAGTCAAGACCTGGAAAAGTTATAAAATATGCTTTGAGATAGTATTAAATTACATGTGTTTTTAATGACTATTTTTACAAGGTTCTGCAGGCCCTGCTGTTTTATGTGACCTTCTCATGATGTAGCAGGAACTTGTTAACAGAACAAATGTTAACAGAACTTGATAAATCCAACTCATTGGGTATATTTTTGTTGCCGATATTACTGTTAAAATTGTAGTTTTAACCCTAAATATTCCTTTTTGGATATTAATTTATTAATAAAATATCAGTCATCAGAACGATTTAACATAAATTACTGCCATATTTAAAAATGTTATCATAAATGACTATATGGCAAGTGTTGATGCATAAAGTCACTTTTAGCTGATTAATTAATATTTGGATTTTAATATCAAGTTCTGTTAACATTTGTTCTGTTAACAAGTTCCTGCTGCATTATGGGAAGGTCACATAAACAGACACTCCAAATCTCCCGATTTTACAGGGAGTCAACCGAAAATTCATGCAATCTCCTGGTCTCCCGATTTTTATCAAATTTTCCCGATTTTTCAAAATATTCAGGAAATATCGTAAAAAAATCGTAGATGTACTGTTTTTAGCAACATAATAGTCTGTCTTGACCTTTTTATGAAGTTAATTTATGGCAATTTACAGGTTCACGTATAACAACATCTTCCCAAAATATGCAGGAAACGCCATTTCAGAAGACTTAATATTTATTATTTTTCCCAGAAGAACTTAGAACTAGATTTCAATTCACTGAACAGTCTCCCTAAATTTCACCTCGACTAGTTGGAATGTCTGCATAAAACAGCAGGGCCTGCAGAACCTTGTAAAAATAGTCATTAAAAACACAATCTCAAAGCATATTTTATAACTTTTCCAGGTATTTGAAATTATGTATAAAATCTTGACTGATTCATCGGCCCGGGGCCCTAAATTTCACCTCGAGTAGTTGGAATGTCTGCATAAAACAGCAGGGCCTGCAGAACCTTGTAAAAATAGTCATTAAAAACACAATCTCAAAGCATATTTTATAACTTTTCCAGGTCATTTGAAATTATGTATAAAATCTTGACTGATTCATCGGCCCGGGGCATTTGAAATTATGTATATAAAATCTTGACATTGTTTCTTTTTTTGTCATACCCCCCCCCCCGGTATTCGCGTATTTGAAAAAAAAATATAAATTTACTAATGAACACGTGTTGCATGCATCAGAATGCGAAAGCGGCGCCAAAATTATGGTCTATATAATTACAATTAAACTTTAATATTCCTTTAACGAAAATAGATAATACACTCATGGATTTTGTTCCTTTTTCATTGACTCACCTAAAATCATCAGTTGCACTTTGTCTTTGTTGATCAACGACATCGATATTCGGAGACCGAGTAGCTGTTGCTCGTGCGTTGTTTATCCGGCTGGAGCTCTGTGGCTCTGATTCCAATTCCTGTAACGCGTTCTTTAACGCATCTTTCGCACGTTGTAACCTGTCGTCTTCTCTTGACACTTTTAAACAATTTAAAAAAGGACAATAAACAAATGAAGCATGAAATTCTTGTTGGAAATTCTTCTTGACAAAATATATACGCAAATTATGAAAATCAGAAAATGCAAAATGTTTGGTGTTACCACTTACCACACGAAAAATTTTCCACTTTTCTTCCCGTTTTTCAAAATTTCCATACGGAAAAGAGACAATTTTCTTTTACGACCCATTGCCTATCCAGTTCGATCCAATGCCTGTCCAGTACGATCCATTGCCTATCCAGTACGACCCATTGCCTGTCCATGTTTGGTGTTACCACTTACCACACGAACAATTTTCCACTTTTCTTCCCGTTTTTCAAAATTTCCATACGGAAAAGAGACAATTTTCTTTTTACGACCCATTGCCTATCCAGTACGACCCATTGCCTATCCAGTTCGATCCAATGCCTGTCCAGTACGATCCATTGCCTATCCAGTACGATCCATTGCCTGTCCAGTACGATCCATTGCCTATCCAGTACGACCCATTGCCTGTCCAGTACGACCCATTGCCTATCCAGTACGACCCATTGCCTGTCCAGTACGACCCATTGCCTATCCAGTTCGACCCATTGCCTATCCAGTACGATCCATTGCCTATCCAGTACGACCCATTGCCTATCCAGTACGACCCATTGCCTGTCCAGTTCGACCCATTGCCTATCCAGTACGATCCATTGCCTATCCAGTACGACCCATTGCCTATCCAGTACGACCCAATGCCTATCCAGTACGACCCATACAATTAACCGTGATGACACAACAATGCTTTGACTCTGAAACAATTTTGTCCCTAATTCCCCTCCATACTTTGTCATTTAATGTTTCAATCACAATCTTGACGCAATTTTTTTAATCCGGGAAGAAATTAACTCATTCCCGCAACACGCTGTGTGGTGTTATATATGATCCGATTATTGTTAAGCATAATCGATTGTGGAAAAATAATCGATTAATCGATTGATCGGGAGCAGCTCTAAATTGTCTGTAATACTGCCATATATTTAATCTCGTGTTTGTTATTTGCGAAGCAGCAGTTTTGCTGTGGAATTAAAATTGCGTGTCATATGATATTTTTAATAGGCAAAAAGCGTTTGAGATATAGCAACATTAGCAAACAAATACACTGAAATCTTGGTTAGCACACCAACTTTTACCACTTTTAATGCAATATTACTAAACTGTAATACTGCCATATTTATTTAATCTCGCGTTTGTTATTTGCGCAACAGCAGTTTTGCCGTGGAATTAAAATTGCGTGTCATATGATATTTTAATAGGCAAATAGCGTTTGAGATATAGGCCTAGCAATATTAGCAAACAAATACACTGAAATCTTGGTTAGCACACCAACTTTTGCCACTTTTAATGCAATATTAGTCAACTTATAAGAGAACGTGAGACAAATCATGCTGAATTATTCGACTATATAACTCCTAAGACAGACGCAATAATCCTTTATAGGTTTATTACAAATATGTAGACATTTGAGACGCCGTCAATGTCTGAAGAAATGTATACTTAAAGCCTTTAAATAAACGAGTTCGATGTACAGTTTCTGGTCTTTTACCATAATTATCCAATGCTGGTTTTATTCGCTGCATTATAAACGTACCTCCTCCAAACAATACCCTTCTTTAAAATACCAAACATTTCGAATGCAATTGAGATATGAAATCTCAACAAGAAGACAATTCAAGATGGCAAATGGCCCGCAAATCAGTCAAAAGTGCAAATCAAAACCCATATTTACACGGCGAGTACGCGCAATTTCTGATCGGTTTCGACACCATAGGTTGAAGCCATGAAGATAAACTTTATTTTAATTTTCTGGTTTAACAACCTCACCAGTACTGCGTCGTAACAAACTAACAACATCACTAGTATTGCCTCGAAATGCAAATGTGAAATGTCGGCAGAAAAATACGGGCGCTTCCGATTGCTCCCGATACTTCACGAAAATCCGGACTGGACACCATGATCATCATCGCTCATCGCGTTTGTGTACTATGTGATAATGGCTAGCCCGCAAACGGGCTAGCCACAAAAATTTTTCACAGAAGGAACACATGAATCCATCGATCAATCGTGTTTACTGTCGGACAAATTATTTTTGTCCTTGTAGCCTACTGGTAGGTGGTCTACCGGTAAGGCGTAGGTCCGTATCTCAGATTTTCCAAAGTTTCTGATTAGGATGGATTGAACATCCGAAGCCTTTATACTGAAGATACGACCGGGCGAACATGTGGCTACAAGTCGAGTCTTATTGTCACTTGTCTCGCATTGAAAAAAAATAATGAAATTCATACTATGTCTATGCAATTTGCGATTGCATCACTAAAATCGATATAGTATATCCATACTATTTTCATACTATGGAAACAGATGGATACATAAAATTTTTTTTTTTTTTAAATATTTTATTTTATATTTTTTTATATTTTATATATATTTAAATTTATATATATATATATTTAAATTTTTTTATTTTTTTTTATTTTTCTCAACTGTTCTTGGTTAGGTTACTATAGTTCAGCAAGTACCGTTATGATAATTTATGATATTCTTAACTTCTGACGGCATAAATAGTGGGTAGTATCAATGTAGAAATGCTGTGCTGAGTGGTTATATTACTACCTTAAAAAAATAAGCAGAAACTCGACGTTTCGAGCGAAGGCCCTTCGTCAAGAGTTACAAATATAATATTTTCACGTTGTATAATACTACAATCTTGGCAAAAGTTCCGTGGACACTGAGAGGTGTAAACTAAAGTATTACTATCGGTGTACACTTTTGTTATGTTTTATTTCCTACAATGTTGGTCTTGACATGCATTTCGCAAACCTTTCACCTAACCAATGTACAAGCTTTCGACATTGAACCGGGGGGGAGGAGGGGGGAAGCTAAACATTGCTGTTTTGCACGTATATATTGGTCAAGGATTGTATTTCTATTTCAGCACGCGCTGTCCACAATAATTTTTGCCGCAGGGTTGTAGTTCCACCGTACATGCAGCTTAGATATCTTATATACACTAGAGCCGTGATTGCAGACTCAGGATATTCACATGAAATGAGAAGACTCGTATGTTTTCTATTTCTTAAACAGGGAACTTAAACATTAAGTTAAACCTATTCCAAATACATTTTCAAACTATTCAAATGATGAAAGTTATTGTTGTTTTTCAAGCGTTCATTAGCGAGTGGGAAACTTCAACATGGCCGCCATCTATTCAAATGGGGGTAACCGCTGGAATATTCTTGGCTTCAATTTTACTAAAAGAGATGCGCTATCTATAGTGTATATAAGATATCTATGACATGCAGGACCATTCTCAAAATCAATTTTGTAAGAATGCCTCCTGAATAAAGATTGTTATCACCAAAATTGTCTATAATCTTCGGCTTGAAATTCCCATCAACAAAAATCCTTCAAGTGTAAGTTATATAGAGCGAAATGCTCAAAAAAGTCTTGATATTTCCCCGGCCATAGATCGCTCTCAGCTTGAATTGCAAGCAGACTACGAATGGGTGAGCTTCACTCCTAAATATCAATAGGAACAAGCATGTTACTGATGGAGGTGGCAACAGCGCTTGACGTCGCTAAGTTTCGCTGCTACGTTTCTCAGCGTGCCTGGGGTCAAAGTGATTTCAATCATGCCAGGCTTCGGAAATATTCAGGATAAACAGGTGATCAATTATGGATTATTTATAACAGTCAAGTTTGCGTCGTAAAGAAACGCCGAATTGAATAAACAGCCGTAGGAAAGAGGAATGTTTGAAATGTGCTGCACGTTAGTTGCACAGCGGTATCATTCCTGTTCTTGTTGGTGTCTTAGAAAAAACTGTTCGCCTTAAAGCTAATTTCCACTCAGGAAAACTATCCGTGCATTGGAACGGACAAGAAAGTTTTTTTCTGTTAAAGTCATTAGTTCCACCCCAGAGTTCACAAGACAAAGAATAATTTTCTTGTCCGTTCCAATCCACGGATAATTTTCCTGAGTGGAAACTAGCCTTTAGTCGCATGTGGAATGAATATCTCCGATTTGATTGTATTCAACTGCATGAAAACGAGATGACTTTATTGGACGTCTTGGTAGAGCAATTTAGAACTGATAGAGCTGTCCAGTATCAATAAAGTTAGCGGTTTAGTTTAGTTTCCTCATGGGGTAACATTGGACCATTATAGGATAATTCTTACTGAACTTCTAGGGAGAACAGTTTAGAATCGATAGAGCTATCCAGTATAAATAAAGTTAATTTAGTTTAGGTTTCCTCCTGTAGTAACACTGGATCAATAAGAGATGATCCTTACTGGACCTCTAGGGAGAACAGTTTAGAACTGATAGAGCTACCCAGTATATAAATAAAGTTAGTTAATTTAGTTTCCTCCAGAGGTACAGTAATACAAGACCAATGTAGGATAGCTATTACTAGACCTCTGGAAAGAACAGTTTAGATCAATCCAGTATAATTAAAGTCTGCTTAGTTTGGTGTTCCATTAGCATCACTGGATCAACAAAGGAAGCCACTTACTGGATCTTGTTGATAAAATGACAGAATGCGCAGAATAAATTAAATAATATGAATCTCACTCTTTAATATATTTCCTACTATTAGTTACATTACTTTCGGCTGACGTGTCCCCCGCCATAAAATTGAAAATCTGTCTTATTTACATTAGAATAAATAATTTAAAAATTTGTTCGTCTAGAAATCACTTTTTCACAAATTTACGAATCGAGATGAAGGAATCATAGTCATAGAACTATAGTATTATTGCCATAATATTATTGGAATCATAGAACTATAGTATTATTGCCCCATTGCGGATTTTGTGTCATTTTCAGCAACGCCGCCAGGCTATGAAATAGTGCCATGATCTCCCCTAACTCTAGTTAAATCATATGGGGGTGTGGTACTTATCTGAAAGTTGTTGGATGTATCGTCAGACGTCGAGTTCCGTTTCTTGTGCAGGTGAACGAGTTGTTCATATTTGCGCAACAAGTCAGAATAAGCCTAGGAGTAAAATGACGAGAAATGAGGAAAGATGACAGGAAAGATAATGGAATGAAAGAGCGGAGGAAAAGAGAATGGATGAAGTAAGGAAGAGTGGATGGAAGGATAGAAGCAGGGCTAGGAATAACAGTCGATCACTGATCAATGATTGTCAAGAAATTGTTTATGATCAGCGGAAAAGCAGGGTTTCCAACCTGAAAAAGAAAGTCATGACTGCCGATTACAACAATCCAGAACTTTTGGAATCTTTAGTTCAAGCCCTGTAGAACTAGAGATTGTGGGCTGATAAATACTTGATTTGGCAAAATGTTTTTAGATGCGAGTAGATTGAAGAGAAAGAAAGAATGGAATGTGAGTTGGAAGAAGGAAGGAAGAAAGGAAACGAAAAGGAAGGGTGAAAAAAGAGAAAAGTGGGATGCAAGGGGAAGAGAAGAGGGTGGAAGATGTGGGGGAGAACAAAGAGGGTGAAAGGGAGAGGGGGAAGCAAAAAGGGTGGAAGGGGGAGGGGGGAAGCAAGGAGGGTGGAAGAGAGAGGGGGAAGCAAGAAGGGTGGAAGGGGAAAGGAGGGTGGAAGATAGGGGCAAGCGAGGGTGAAAGATAGGAGGAGAAAACAAGGAGGGTGGAAGGGAGGGAGGAAGAAAGGAAGGAATATGGATGAATGAGAATGAAAATACTAGAATCAATGAAAAGATCAATGTCCAGAGATACAAAACCCAGTTATAAAAACCAAAACATCTACAACTTCACCTTTGAACATTCATCCTTGCTTTTGAATTCAGAGCGAGCAGTAGACACAGTAGACCTTTGATCTTGTGAAGATTCTTTCTCATTCCTCTCTTTATTCTGTTCAACACGATTCAACAAACCAACATGATTCAACAAACCAGCACGAGTAAACACTTTATGACGTAGTTTTTCATAACCCTGCTTTGTCAGTTCTTGATGATAAAAACTTTGCTCGATTTCCTCCCATTCAATTCGCTGTTCCTGAGATAATAATGGATACACTAAAATGAACAAGTAACAGTAGAAAGGTTTTGTCAATGAAAATTGAGTGTGAACTTTACACATAAAATTTATTAGACCTGACCAAGAAGAGTGGCTATATATAAACCCTCTGGCAGGAATTGATTCCGGTGCAGCGCTCTAACCAATTACGATACACTGAATCTTTATTTTCAGACTGATTTTCAATCTGAATGACTGAAAGTTTTCAATTGTTCAGGTTTTGATTAAAATATTTACCTAAGAAAGCATCCATGGGACAAGCAAGTGGTGTTTGAAATTCAACTTCATAATGACATGTACTTGGTTCTTTTACACTCACTAACTTGTGTTTGTTTGCACATTTTAAAAATATCTGCAAGAATGTGTAAAATGCATTGTTTTAGAACATATAATATATAAAGCTAATTACAGTATATAAATAAAGTTAATTTAGTTTAGGTATCTTCCTGTAGTGCTGTAGTAACACTTAATGAACAAGTGATGACCCTTATTGGACCTCTAGGGAAAACAGTTTAGAACTATCCAGTATAATGTACCAAATTTAGTTTTTAGGTAAGTTTAGTACTGTGTGTATAAGACTTACTTTAGATTGTCGTCGAACATTACCAGGACAAGGGTCGCCTTCAGTCATCACCATCGCTTCAAGCGTGTTGTTCACAATAGACCACTCTTTCCAAATTCTACCGGTATTTCACAAAAATATTAGAAATTACTTAATTCTGTCCAGATTTCATCAACTTCATTCCAGGGGCTGGAATGAACAAAACAAACATGCAGAAATATAAAACATAAACTAAAACAGCAGGTTAAATTTTAACCGAGGGTTGCAGTGTTAATCTGCACAATTGATCCCAGGGCATTCTAAATGTCTTACACTCTTACCCAAGAATTCCTTGGAAGGCATTCCATCTCCATGTTTGTTCGTGTTGAGTGATGTTGAAAAATGGACACAATTGATACATATATCTATGTTGAATGTAAAGTATATATAAAGATGTTTAATTAATCTAAATCATTTCACTGAGAAAAAGGATATCAAATACAAGTTGCAATAATTAATTTTAAAATTAAATGTTCTTACGAGTTGTCTGTAAGTGAAAAACATTTTCCATATAGCTTCTGTAAATGCCTTGGTCCTATTTTGTCAATAAAAAGAAAATTACAATACCACTTATAGCTGCTATGTACCAACTGTAATTTGCCAATATTATGAAAGTCATCGAACTGTGGAATTGCATCAAAAATTCATATTGCCACCACTCCCACAAACATCTATGACTGCACCTACATATTTTTACATCTATCGAAGGAACTAGACTCAGTTCCGAAATATCACATACTCGAACCAACCTGACTGCGTAGCTCAGTTGGCAGAGCGTTGGGCTAGTATTCCAAAGGCCATAGGTTCGAATCCCACCATGGCCAGGCATATTTTTCAAGCCTGCCCGGTGTGGATATACATTCAGAGTAACATCACACAAGCATATTTTTGCATGTTTACAATTTTAATTTTGAACAGCCAATCCGGTTCTTGGATTACAATTACAATTAAACATTGATTGGCTGTTTAAAATTAGAACTGTAAACATGTAAAAACATGGAGGTGTGGTTGTAGACGTTTGTGGGAGTGGCGGTGATACAAATTTTTTTCTGATTCCACTAGTTCGGTGACTTTTGTAATATGTCCCACTTACCAAGTTGCTACAAGGTTGTTGAGCTCAACAGAGTTGTTACAAGTTGTTCCAACAACTTGTTATCGTCCTGCAATTCAACAATTTGTCAACAAGTTGTGAGTGACAACCTTGTAGCAACTTGATAAAATAATAGCATTTAATTGTTACAACTTAATTGACAAGCTTGTCACAAGCCTGTTGCGAACACATCTTGTTGATAATTTGTGAGATCTTTACATGTGTAGTTATATGCTTTATTAGCACTGGTCATGCAAATAATGATTTATCTCACCTGAAAAATTCTGAGGTTTTCTAAAGGGTCTGAGCATAGACTATAATTTGAAGATTTAAAAATGACAATTAGCAGGCCAGATAATGGAAAAATCTAGAATTCAATTTGAATACTGCATTTAACCATGATTTTATTAAAATGATTAACATACATTTTCTCTTGGTAAATTTTGGTTGTTTGGCTGTGGTAATTGCCTAAATGAATGGAAAATAAACATGCTGTATAATTTGCATCTTGAGATGAAGATTGTGTAGTCGTCATTAAATTATCCGAATATAGTCACAAACCATGCCTATAAGGTACTATGCCGAAAACAGGTGTACTTTATAGCTACAAACTGCGAAAAAGTGAGATGGATGCATTAGAAACCGGCTTAATTGTTTTGAAAGCCCTGTCCTCTTACCTTGACAAGTAAAATTGTCTGGCGTTAGACAGAGTAAAATAATATTAAAGTAGGGTGGAGTAGGGCACAATGCGACTTACTGCTTCAGTATACTTACAAGCCACCGTAATTTGCAGGTTCTTGAACTATTTTGACAGATTTCCTCCCAGCGAGAACACAAACTATTAAAACAACATACAAAGACATATTTGAACATTTTGAAACTCAATTTTTACTTCAATATTTTACGTATAAATACTGCAAAGCAAGAGAAAATTATGCTTAAGAATACCTGTGCAAAACACCAAAATTACAAGCGTCAAATTCATGCTTTAAATGGAAAAAAACCGTAAAGTTTTTGGGCATGAATCAATAATTCTCCATGTTTGGAAATTTTTTAAAATTTGAGCAAGAATTTATTTCACCCATTCGCAGGCTAAAACCCATAGAGATGCCTGCGGAGGAGGCCATAATTTAGGATTTCTGAGAAATTTCTAGCCTGTAATCCACCCGTCATAGGAAGGTATATAACTTGATTTTTTCAGCCCTCGTCCAGCCAAGCCGACTTAGCTCAGTTGGGAGAGCGTTAGACTGAAGATCTAAAGGTCCCTGGTTCAAATCCGGAGAACTCGCATTGAGTTCTGAACATTCCCGGGAGTCGGCAAAGGCACATTTTTATCCACCTTGCTAACCCCAAACCTTTTTTTCTTTCATCACCAAGCACTTACGGACTATGTGGGTGTCATTTATAGCAAAGAAATCGCTTAGGAAACAAGAAAAAAAAATTAGAAAAAAAGTTTTTGCCTAAAAAATTTTAGTGAAAAATTAAGTAGGTTGCATAGCCACTTTAATATTTTTTCGTACTCAAGCCAAGCGAAGTTTCTTATGACACGGCCAAAAAACATGGCGGACAAGACTACCAAACGAAAAGCATTTGAAATCCCCGTTTTGGACGATATAGACGAAGTTGTTCAAGTTACCCCAGTTTTTACACGTAGGACAAAAACAAGGAATGCAGGGGAATGTAGAACAAGTATTTCTAAGCCGGAAAACTCTAAAACCGTTCAGAAATTGCCAACGAAACCAAGCGAGAAAAATGAGCAAATTCCCGCTCCCTGTATTAATAGGCAGAGCGAAACTGAAAAGGCTACCGATATAGAGACGGTTCAAAGTGACGCTGGTGCAACGAAGGAATCGAATAAGAGTGAATCCTGTGAAATAACTGTTGGTAAAAATTTTTTAGAGACATTTGCGTTTATTGAGAATACGAAATATTACGAGGCGCCCAAAGCATCGACGTCGAAAAACCCCAAATCTTCAGAAACTGTGTAAGTCGGAATGTTCTCTAAAATTTCTTAGACTAACAACATTGGCTTGTTCTGCCAGGAAAAATGAGGAGGGATGGCTTTTAGTTTTATAAATATTAATAATAATATTAACAGCTGAATATAGCTCAGCAAGGGTCATCTCTAATTGTCTCCAGGTTGGTTTACGCTATCAAAGTTTTTGTGATCATAGTAAGAATTTTGCATAGGTAAAGTTTACAAGAAATGTTTGAGGGAACTGACTCAGTGTTAAATTACTCAGTTCCCATAATTCTTTCTGGAATTCTGGAGAAAACATACAAATGCAAATTAATTGTAATCGGTCACCAATCCCAATTGTACTGTGTAAACTCTGAACGAAAATCCAAACACAAACATCCTAATCACTATTTTATTTAATCACACCACTGTCTTCTGCATTCTGTCTTAATCTAAACCTTATATGTCCTTAATCCTGGGTTCGTACAAAACTTGAAAGTCTTTGAATGTCCTTGAATTTGAAAACAAAAATTCAAGGACTTGAATGTCCTTAGTTTGCAAAGAAGTACTTGAAAGTCATTGCTTAGTTTATGGATACTTTCTGAAATTGTTTGACATTCAAAACGGACATTTTGTTGAATTGATTTTGCATGTTCATGTGTGGCAAAGCTGTTTGAAACTCATTAAAGTTGAATTTTGAACAATTCGACGTCACATTTTACTGAAGTATTTAGTCCTTGAATTTGCTGATACATGGCCTTAGTGAAAAGTCCTTGAATTTGACTCTTCCCGACATGTATGAACCCTGTTAATCCCTGATCACTAGTTTAATATCCTTTATGCCTTAATTTTGAACTTCACTGTTTTCCAGTAGTTCAAAGCTTGGTCAAGAACAGGCAGTTAAAACTCAAGTTAACTCATCAAAATCAAACACACTCCTTGTTAATCAGAGACAGGTAATAGCCATACGCAACACGATGACGACTCAGAGCCGTCTGAAGCATCTTCTTACGTTAGAATTCATTTGATTTAATATGAAAAAAAATCATATTTATGAGAATGATTCTGTGATAGAATTCAAACATGCCACGTTCTCAAAGATAAAGGTGGTGATCTAGAACGCCAAAGACGCCAGTTGGAACAAGCCAACAAGGCAATGAAATTTTCGTCATTCATTCCTGCAATGTTATAACTGCACGCATATAAATCTCACAGCGTGTCAACAAGATGTGTTCGTACTGCTTGTTCCCAGTTGTTGACAAGTGTGGAACAAGTTGTTATCATCTTGTAACAAGATTGATAAGGCCAACAGACTCACAACAAGTTGTTCCAACAAGTCTGATATCGTCTGCACGTAACAAGTCGTCAACAAATTGATGACAACAAGCTCGTAGCAAATTGTTACGAACAGCCTGTATTAGTCTTGTTGGAACAACTTGTAGCAAGTCTGTTACCGTCATCAATCTTGTAACAAGGTGATAACAACTTGTTCCAGACTTGTCACAACAACTGGGAACAAGCAGTGCGAACACATCCTGATATCGGCTTCACAACAACCTTGTTAAAACTTGTTTGCAGATTTGCGACAACTTGCGCGTTTTTACGTGTGTAGTATGGACGATTTAGTAATAGAATTAGTTCAGATTTGGACACTTTACTTACAGGTTCTTCTGCCTGAATATTATATAATTTCTGTATCTCAATTCAGTACATAAATTGTGTATAAATTAACGAGGACCTGTACTTAATTTTTCTTACACATGGGTTATCTTCAGAAAGGGAATCCAGTTCTGAAGTTCTTTCGCAATGTACCCTGGGAATATAGTGACATCATTCCTGATTACGTCATGGGACAGAGAATTTGTGCCGTATTTCTGAGGTGAGATCATGTTTGACAGTTTTTTGGTTCGATACTTTAACATACTAAATATGCAGCATTATTTCGATATTGCAACATTATTTCGACACTATGTTGGATCGGCTTCGACTTTAAAATTTCATTCGACAAAAATGTTTCTTGCTTATGGCCGATTTACAAGTTGAGTTGTACTGTGTTAGCGGTCGGTAAATAAAGTTTTTCTATCTATAGGTAAATTGTGTGCTTGATTTACACAGTACAACTCAAGTTGTAAGCAGGTTGCATGCGACAGTTTTAGGCAAACGTTGTGTGGTGTAAATCTGCCTTTAGAGTCGTTTAAAGTTGAGAAGTGAGAGTTTGCATGCGAGTTAATTCCTCGAGTTGTTTTAAGTATACTGGTCATCTCAATGTGTTACAGTACCATAGTTTAAAAGACGACGTATCTTTTTAGCATCCGTTATCACAACTTTAATCCAGACTACATTCACGAAAGATTAAAACAACTTGGAAATCGTTATGATGTGAGAATTTTACTTGTACAAGTCGATATCGTAAGTGAATTTATGAAAAACGTTCTAAATTCATAACCATCCATACGAAACGAATTTAACCTGAAATGGCTAAAATTGCTAAATAGCTCAATGTTTTTAACATATTGTTTTTTCTTCATACAGAAAGACCCACATAAAACGTTGAAGGAGCTAACAAAAATAGCCATTTTGGCTGACTGTACTTTGATGCTTGCTTGGAGGTGGGTGCATGGCATATGTTGTAACTAGACGTATCTCCCCAGAGGGGGACTAGCCCCACCCTACCCCAGACTAAACTCAGCCCATGTATACTGGAAATCTGGAATGTTCTATCAACTACACATATAAAAATCTCACAACTTGTCAACAAGATGTGTTCGCAACAGGTTTGTAGCAAGCTTGTCAACAAGTTGTAACAATGCTGTTATTTTATCAAGTTGCTACAAGGTTGTCACTCACAACTTGCCGACAAATTGTTGAAATGCAGGACGATAACAAGTTGTTGGAACAACTTGTAACGAGTCTGTTGAGCTCAACAACCTTGTAGCAAGTTGCTAACAAGCCGTTGACAACTTTTCAACAAGCTGGTAACAAGCAGTGCGAACACATCCTGTTGACAAGTTGTTGGAACAGCATTCCTACAAGTCTGCTGCAGGTTTGTTACAACTTGTGCGTTTTTACGCGTGTAGAGTGTAGTTGACAAGTTGCGAGATTTTGACGTTTGTACTCCAAAACATTATGTGGTTTTATTTCTATTCAACAGCGCCGAAGAAGCAGCACGATACATAGAAATGTACAAAATCTACGAAAATAAACCGCCAGAGGCTCTTCAGGGGCAAACAAGCACCGATTATCTATCAAAAGTATGCATACGTAAACTTATGTAATTATTCTCCCTCGTTATA